TTCCAGACATATTGAAATGTTTTTCCAATCGTTATTTTTCTAACGTCATNTTTTTTTTTTTTTTTAGGTATCCGTTGCTCGAATTAATCAAATCATCAAAGTTTGAATTTACTGGCATGTTTCGTGGCCTCGTTTTTCGTATCTTTCCTATCGTTACGTAAAACCGCCTGCGACGACCGCGTGGAAGAATTGGATTTACACATAAAGGGCGTGTTTGCATAAAAGATATCGTCGTACGTAACATGCTCGTTATTTCCTGTTATCATGTCGACGAGTGTCTAATCGCTTTGGCGCCGCCTGCAACCCAACTGGTCCTGAATATACATGGGCGTAAAAATTGCTTAGACAACGGATTAATCGATAAATCTCTTTCCTTAACTCTTAAAAATGTCAGTCTCTCGAAAGACTGGAACGATGGGTCCTTTGATCAAGGATGGAATTCCTTGATCGAACCACTCCTAGTAACGATGAAAAAGAAATGATACCTGATACGATTGGATCCGCGATCTCCCTTTGAATTCATTCGTCGAAAAAGTATAAATACTATTCGTTCTTTTTTATCCAACTCGAACTTTAATTAAACTTCCTCCTCGTGTTTTTCATCCCTACGATATATTCCTACCGTATTTCTACGCTTGATGCATTGTGAATGTTCTTCCATCGACATCTGTTCGAGTAGCTCTTTTTTTATCGTGGGCCATGCGTGAAGAACAGGGAAAAGAAACGAAGTACCGCGTTGTTCTACGTTTATGAAAATGACTTGTGTCAACAGATAGCATTTCGGAGAAGAGTGATTCGTTCCAGCGTACGTTGAAAGGGAAGCGTGTTAGCGCAGACGTGTTATCGTGGTTTTCTGGTAATCCGAGGATACACGAAGATATTTTTGAAACGGAAAATACATCAGAAATATCGAGACGTGTTCGATGTTAAGACAGGTGCGATACCGAATTCCAGAGATTTCGCATCGATTAATATAGAATCACATCGGAAAACAAGATACGTATTCGTAGACGATATCAGTCGCAATAAAGACATCATTGAATTCTGTGTCGCGCTCATAATTTATGTTTCGAGTGCAACGGCATCCTCGACTCGGTTACAAATGCACGCGGTTATGCACAACGACTGTATACATCCTGATACGAACATGCTCTGTGGGAAACGGCTCGGCCTTCCTTTCGTATGTTACAAAGTATATTGCGTATAGTTATATATCGGTTAATACAGATGAGCGTTATAGCTTCCTCGATGTAACGAGTATCAAAGTGCATAAATATGGATTTTTTTTCTCTCTCTCTCTTTCTCTTCCGAGAATACATTTTTTAAACGTCGGAAGATTGCAAGAAAATATTTCACTTTGCCTTTTCGTAATTTAAGAATTATTATTACTGTTTTATTGATAAATAAAACATAGAAGAGGAAAATATCTTTGTGGAAGATATTTTTTTTAAAATAATGTTTTAATGAATTTTAATGCGAAAAGGATTCTACGATTAAAATAAAAGGAAAATAAATATTCGAGTAGAATTTCTCGAGATTCGGTTCTCGAGAAATCGCAGACGGAATTATTTTACCGGAGGGAAGTGACACTTGCTGCATGTATGTACAAGATAGCGCAAATGCACGCGGGAATGCATCTACAAAAGTCAACGAAGACCTGTGTTTACCGATCTTAATTAGGGATAAAACGAAAGGGTTGAAAATGGTAGGGTCGCGAGTTGACAAGAATCGGCTTTTCGAATCCAACTTCGGGCATCTTCGGTGGTCACCGACACTCTTCGTACTACTCTTAACTCGTGCTCCCGCTGCCTCCACTCAGTCGTTGACGCGCGCTCGTTTCGTTTGGTTCGGGTATTAATGGTGCTTCAACATTCACAAGAGAACTTCACGGT